TAGCGGGCAGCACCCCTTTCCTTCCCTCAGCCCAGGGCTCACTCATCACACCCTACCCGTTCTGCTTCTCCTGCCTGGGAGACAGATAAACGAACTAGAGACATGGGCCAGCAAACAGGGATGGACAACAGGAGCGCAGGGAAGGATGCGGACAGGGACAGACAGCAACAGAGGACAGACAAGTGAACTGTGTGCCTGTCTACATCACTGCGCTTGGTCCGGGGCCCCAGACAGACACCAGGAGGCCATGAACCCCACCAAGGCCCATGCTGTGAATGTCAGCAACTCTCATGAGTATCTTCAAGAGAGTTCCTGGCAAAGTCAAGAACCACTGTGGCTCCAGGACAAACTCCTAGCTTACAGGTGCACACATTAAGGCCCACAGGGAGGACAAGGCCCCCCCGAGTCCCCACAAGTGAGCAACCCACTCCACTGAACTGCCTAAACCCAGAAGCCCCCCAGAAGCCTGTCTCCAAACCCACTGTGCTCAGAGCACTGAATGCCAAACCAGGATGCTGCAAAGCCCCGCCAGAGAGGCCCCCACCTGGCCTTACCTTGGTGCGCCCGTTGATGACATAGCTGCCCAGCCGCCCTGCGCAGTGGCGGATGACGGCGTCCACGTGGGCCATGAGGGCACCAATGCTTCGGCAGCCTGCTTCATGGCCTTCCACCCAGGCAATCTGGTCCCCACGGATGCTGCGCGGCGGGATCGCCCGCTGGCTCACTAGCTGCCCGTCTCGCAGGCGCCCACCCCGTTTGAGGGCCTCCACCTCGGCCAGCACGCGGCCGCCCAGCGCTGCCCCCAGGAAGCTGTCCTTGACGCAGATGCCGTAGTACCGCATGCAGGGCACGATATAGTCCAGGGCCAGGCGCTCAGGTGCAGAGGGCAGCGCCTCCTCCATCAGCCCAGCACTGGCCTCACCACTGCCACTGCTGCAGCCGCAGCTCATGCCACCCTCCCGCTCTGCCTCCTGGTTCTCTTGCCTGGCCCAGGGCCGCTTGCTGGGTGAAGGGGCATCCCCACCATCCTCGGCCCATTTCCGTTTGGGGGCCTCAGGCCGGGCGCCCTGGGCTGCCAGTCGCTGGCACCCCTTGGTGACCAGCGCTGCAGCGCCTTCACTCTGCAGCGGCCGCAGCTCACCACCATCCTGCCCGCCAAAACCGTCCCGAAGGGGGCTGGCAGTGGTAGAGGTGGCTGTAGCTCTGGGAGTCCCACTCCCCGCTGAGGCCTCACTAGGCACTCCTGGACAGTGGTAGGAGGGGAGCAGGGGACAGGGCAGGTAACTCTCCACCCCCATCCTGGCCCGGCCAGGCTCCAAGGGCTCTGACGAAGACCCTGGTAACTGAGGGAGAGCCTGACTTAGGGGCTGCGACTGGCACGGGCTGTCCATGGCAGCAGTGTCTTCATCCCCCGGGCATGGAGGGCACCGCCCGGGCCCATGGTGCCACCCTCCTCCGCCTCCTCCTCTGCCTCTTGATGCAGCTGGGGGCCACCAGGCCTGGCGTGGGGCAGGGTGAGGCAGGGCAGACAGCAAGAGCTCTTCTCGTGCCCTGGGGGTTGCTTGCTGGTCCCCAAGTCCTCTGCCGTCCCTAAGGGCTTGGGAAGGGACCCTTCAGGGTGGCTAGAAAAAGGAAAAAGAAAAGGGATGTGAGAGGAGCTAGAGACAGGCAGGCTAGGGAAAGAGGGGATGGCATGGGCAGGAGTGGGGAAGACGACCAGGACAGACTATAGAGGTCCCCCAAAACCTGGGGCCAAGTCGGGGAGAAGACCCTGAGAATCTGGAGGTGTGAGAGTCCGCTGACAGACAAGGGACAGTGATAGGGAAAGGCTGGAGGCCAGAGGCTGGGTAGACGACCCTAAGACAGAGGACTGTGGTGCGGGTTGTGGGACGCGGTAACCAAAGACAGAGAAAGGAGGGCTGGAGTAGAAAAGGGTGGTGTGGAGGGGTGGGAAGGAGGGAGTTTGGAAAATAGGAGGGATCTGCCTCGGCGTTCCAGAGACAGACAGAGAAATGTGGGGGATTCTGAGAGAATCAGAGTTGGGGGCGGGGGGGGTCAAAAGACAGAGGAAACTGGGGAGTCCAAAGACAAAGAGAACGAGGGACCCAGAGACAGAAAAACAGACCGGAGGGAAGCTGGGAGGGAAGCTGGGAGGGAGGGCCCGGGACGGAGCGGGGCGGTAGGGTCGACCCGAGCCCGACGGGAGGAAGCCGGCCGGGGGCGGACACACGCCCAGACGGAAGGGAGGTCCCGAGACTGACCGAAGGGAGGGGCCCTCGGGGAGAGGGTCCGCGGCGGCAGAGGGAAGGACGGAAGAGGGTGCACGCACCCGGAGACAGGACGAGGGAAAAAGGCACCCTCCTCCAGGGCACCCCCACGCCCCCAACCCCGGGCGGGCCCTGAGGCCACTTTGGAGAGCTGTAGCGACAGGGCCAGGGCCTAGGGGCCGCTCGGACCCCCTCCCCTCCCCCTCCCCTCGGCCTCCGCCCGGCGCGCGCTCCCCGCCCCCACCCCAACCCCCCCAACGGCCGGCACCCAACGTCCCCGGCGCGCGTCCCCTCCCCCGCGCCGCACCCACATCCCCCTTACCGGGGTCGCCCTGGCAGGCCCCGGCGGGCGCCCCCACACCCCGCCCTGTTCGTGTCGGCGCCCCGGCTCCAACTCAGTCTCCTCCCGCTCCCTTCTCGCCCCGCGACCTCCTCACCAAGCTTTTTCCTCCGGCCCCGGCGCCGCCGTTTGTGCCAGCCGCCCTGCGCCGCACAGCGCGCCATACCCCGCCCCCACCGCGCGCGACGCCCCGCCCCGCCTCGCCCGTTGGGCACGTGACCGCGCCCCAACGGAGGCAACGGCGCCTGCGCAGACCTGAGCCGCGCTGGGCGAGGAAGTTCGGGACAAGCCCCCAGCCAAGGAGAAAGGAAACAGGGCTCCGTGGCCGACACGAGGTTCATTTGCATCATCCTCCGCCCCGCCCCCTTTGCGCGGGAGGGGGATCGCAGTGTGAGGGGCCGGGTCTGGGAGGGGGCGTTTCCTGCATGTTGGAATCAAGTGGCGTTGGCGGGGCGGAGCACGCAAATTATGTGATTTACATGAACAGGCCCACCCCGCGTTCCCCCCCAGCGCGGGCACCGGGTTCGGCAGCGCGGTGCGCGTGACTTCATTTACAGGGTCAGCTCCTCCTCCTCCTCGCAGCCCAGGAACGGGGGTGAGAGATGGATAAATGGCTGCGCAGTTAGTTGGCAAATGTATGTAAATTCGCACGTCAGTAATTTACATAAGTATCTTTTATAACGGAGGAGAAAAAGTGCGGGATGCCCTTGAGAAAAGGGAACGCGGACTAGAAGGGATGTTGTGCCAATGTGTATTTTCAAGACCCGCTCCGCCCTGCCCCCTCGGGACAATCGTGGGAATCAGAATAAAGAACCAGGGAAAGTCTGGGCAACAGAGTGAGACCTTATCTTTACACAAAATTAAAAAATGAAACAAAAAAAATCCACGGAACTCTACAGAGCTGGGAACATTTTGGGGGACGAAGGAATATAAGGTCATTTTGAATGCCCCGCCCCCTCCACCGTAACTCTGGAGAGCTGGGACTCAAGGCTCCCGCGGGGTCGGTAAGGCGGACGCGGAGGTGGGAGGGCGACGAGCAACTGGGAGTGTCTTCAGGGGGCTGCACCAGTCCCCAGCAGGCCACCTGAGGGCGTAGGGCGGTTCGGGTGAGCACAAGGACATGCATACTGGTATCTACACATGCGTGAGGATTGCACAAAAACCCACAGTCCTCAGGGCACACACAGGGTTCATGGCCACACAAGGGTGTTTCTTGTTTAGTTTTGTTTTTGAGATGGGGTCTTACCCTTCTGCCCAGGCTGAAGTGCTGTGGCACGATCACAGTTCACTGCAGGCCCAACCTCCCAACTAAAGTGATCCTCACAACTCAGCTTCCGGTGTAGCTGGGACTTCAGGTGTGTACCATGACACCTGGCTAACTTTTTCTGTTTTTTATTTTTGTAGATGGGGTCTCTCTGTGTTGCCCAGGCTAGTCTCCAACTCCTGGGCTCAAGTGATCCATGTGCCTTGGCCTCCCAAAGTGCTGGGATTACAGGCATGAGCCACCACACCTGGCCACACATGGGTGTTTAAAAGGAGCCAAATTCACACCGAAACACACACAGACCTCAGGGGCACACATGCACAGGCACACAAGCGGTAGTGAGTCACTGCCTCTGATTCTCAGGCATCAGGCATGCACAGACCGGAGGCCCACCTATAGGTCCAAATTCCCATCCCTTGGCCTTGATGTCCCAAACAATACCAGCCTCACCAATACACTCACCAATACAATCACCAAGGCCACAGAGCAGTTACAGCTATCAGCATCACACACAACCAGCACACATTCCTATAGACATCATCCCATACGCAGGTACTGGAAACATGTACACGTCACACACACAGGGACATTAGCATGTTTACACACTTGAGCTTAGAACACAGATTGTCACAAACTGTCCACACAGTAACAAATTCCCTCCCTCCACAACAGGCACCTGAGTCATCATGCTTGGTATACCCCACACCATGTCCAATCAGGAAACGAGGCCCCCAAGGCCATGCCAGTGGCTCACACCTGTAATTCCAGCACTTTGAGAGGCTGAGGCGGGTGGACCACCTGAGGTCGGGAGTTTGAGACCAGCCTGACCAACATGGAGAAACCCCATCTCTACTAAAAATACAACATTAGCCGAGCATGGTGGCGCATGCCTGTAATCCCAGCTACTCGGGAGGCTGAGGCAGGAGAATCTCTTGAACCTGGGAGGTGGAGGTTGTGGTGAGCCAAGATCGCGCCATTGCACACCAGCCTGGGCAACAAGAAGGAAACTCCCATCTCAAAACAAACAAACAAAAAACAGAAACAAGGCCCCCAAACACCATGACATTTGAATCTTCCATCAGGGACCTCTTCCATCTCCCTGCCATCTCAGAATAATGGAGGCCAAGACACAGGTGTAAACAATGCTTTATGGGGGTAGGGTGGGTGCTGGACAGGCCTCCAGGTAATAAATAACAGGTACTAGCAACAGCAGGGCCAGGCGGGGAGGTAGGGACAAATGACCCTGGTCTCAGGCTTTGGGAGCTCTTGGGGTATGGTTAGGGGTTCAGGGGGACAGAGGTTAGCCAAGACAGAGGAAGCAGCAGCAGGTACGGGATCCCCCTTCCCCCGTGACTCAGTCTTGCCCCAAAGCCAGGCCCCACCAAGGAAGGGGGACAGGTGGCGGCGCAGCTTCTCCGGGGCCAGGGCAGGTTGGGACATGGCCTCTCGGAGCCTGGGCCTGGGCCTGGGCCTGGGCCCCGGCCGGAAGGGCAGGGCTGGTCCTGAAGAACAGGTGAGCTGAAAGAGAAGGGTGTGGTGACCTGCAGGGTCCCTGGGGTCTGTCCAGCTGGTCTCTATCTCATTTCCAGGTATTTCCCTGCCCTCCTATCTACATCGGTCTGTCCATACCTTTCTTCTCCCAATTTCTACATTGTCTGATTTTCCGTCTCTCCCCTGCAGGTAATTTGGGGCTTGCGCTGAGGGTACCTGCATCTCCCTGTTTGTTTGCCTCAGAAAGCTAAGTCTGTAAAGCCACATTTCAACATCTAAATATCATGAATCTGGCTGGACGCGGTGGCTCACGCCTGTAATCCCAGCACTGTGGGAAGCCAAGGCGGGAGGATTGCTTGAGCCCAGAAGTTTAAGACCAGCCTAGGCGACACCACGAAACCCCATCTCTACAAAAAAATACAAACATTAGCCAGGCGTAGTGGCATGCACCAGTAGTCCCAGCTACCTGGGGGGCTGAGGTGGGAAGATGGCTTGAGCCTGAGAGGTAGAGGTTGCAGTGAGCCAAGATTGTGCCACTGAACTCCAGCCTAGGCAACAGAGTGAGACTGTCTCAAAAAAATAAATAGGCTGGGCGCGGTGGCTCACACCTGTAATCCCAGCACTTTGGGAGGCCAAGACGGGCAGACCACAAGGTCAGAAGTTCAAGACCAGCATGGCCAATGGTGAAACCCTGTCTCTACTAAAAATACAAAAATTAACCAGGCATGGTGGCAGGCGCCTGTAGTCCCAGCTGCTTGGCAGGCTGAGGCAGGAGAATCGCTTGAACCCAGGAGGCGGAGGTTGCAGTGAGCCAAGGTCACACCACTGCACTCCAGCCCGGGTAGCAGAGGGAGACTCTATATCTCCAAAAAAATTAAATAAATAAATAAATAAAATGAACCTGCCTTTGTATCTTTCTGAGTCCCTCTATGTTCCTGGATCACCCTGGCTCTAAGTCTCATTTCAGTGTTCCCCAAACTGGGGAGACGTTAGGTTACTGTTTCTCACTTTGGTTGTATATAGCATTAACTGGGAGCTTCCAGAAATGCTGAAACTGGCTGGCTCATGTCTTTAATCCCAGCACTTTGGGAGGCCAAGGCGGGAGAATCGCTTGAGGCCAGGAGTTTGAGACCAGCCTGGGCAATAGAGTGAGACCCCATCTCTATTTATGTTTTAATTAAGAAAAAAAAAAAGTCCTGAAACCACTTCAGAATCTCTGGGGTGAGGCCTGGGCATCAGTATATATATATATATATATATATATATATATTTTTTTTTTTTTTTGAGACGGAGTCTCGCTCTGTTGCCCAGGCTGGAGTGCAGTGGCTGGATCTCAGCTCACTGCAAGCTCCGCTTCCCGGGTTCACGCCATTCTCCTGCCTCAGCCTCCCGAGTAGCTGGGACTACAGGCACCCGCCACCTCGCCCGGCTAGTTTTTTGTATTTCTTAGTAGAGACGGGGTTTCACCATGTTAGCCAGGATGGTCTCGATCTCCTGACCTTGTGATCCGCCCATCTCGGCCTCCCAAAGTGCTGGGATTACAGGCTTGAGCCACCGCGCCCGGCTGGCATCAGTATATTTTAAAGTTCTCCAGGTAATTCTAACGTGTGTCACTACCTTGGTGGGGAAATCAGTTTGGTGGGCCTTGACCAATTTTTAAATTCAAATAGAATAGGATAGAACAGCAAATATCAGAGTGCATCCTATATAGTAAGAATGTTCTATTGATTGGGCGGGTGCAGTGGCTCAAACCTATAATCCTAGCACTTTGGGAAGTAAAGGCAGGAGAGGATCACTTAGGCCCAGGAGTTCGAGACCAGCCTGGGCAACACAGACACTGTCTCTACAAAATTAAAACATTATTTTTAAAAAAAAATTTTTTTTTAAATGCAGGTGGCATCACCTGAGGTCAGGAGTTTGAGACCAGCCTGGACAACATGTTGAAACCCTGTCTCTACTAAAAATACAAAGAAATTAGCTGGGCATGGTGGTGGACACTTGTAATCCCAGCTACTAGGGAGGCTGAGGCAGGAAAATCACTTGAACTCGGGAGGCAGAGGTTTCAGTGAACCGAGATCACACCACTGCACTCCAGCGTGGGCAACATGAGTGAAACTCCATCTCAAAAAATAATAATAATAATTTTAAAAGATATATTATATTGGTTGGCTGGGCTCGGTGGCTTATGTCTGTAATCCTAGCACTTTGGGAGGCTGAGGTAGAGGATTGCTTGAGGCCAGGAGTTTTTGTGTTTTGTTTTGGTTTGGGGTTTTTTTTTTTTTTTTTTTTTTTTTTGAGACAGAGTCTTGCTCTGTCACCCATGCTGGACTGCAGTGGCGCGATCTCGGCTCACTACAACCTCCGCTTCCAGGGATCAAACGATTCCTCTGCCTCAGCCCCCTGAGTAGCTGGGATTACAGGCGCATGCCACCACGCTCAGCTAATTTTTGTATTTTTAGTAGAGATGGGGTTTTACCATGTTGGTCACCCTGGTCTCGAACTCCGACCTCGTGATCTGCCCGCCTCAGTCTCCCGAAGTGCTGCGATTACAGGCGTGAGCAACCACACCCAGCAAGGTCAGGAGTTTAAGACCAACCTGGCTAACAGTGAGACCATATCTCAAAAAAAAAAAAAAGAAAGAAAGAAAGAAAAGAAAAAAGGAAAAGAGGCCAGGCATGGTGGCTCCCACCTTTAATTCCAGCACTTACAGGAATGCTGAGGTGGGTGAATCGCTTGAGTTCAGGAGTTCGAGACCAGCCTGAGCAACATAGTGAAACCCCATCTCTTCAAAAAATAAAAATACAAAAATTAGCCGGGCGTGGTGGTGCACACCAGTAGTCCCAGTTACTTGGGGGGCTGAGATGGGTAGATGACTTGAGCCCAGGAGGTCAAGGCTGCAGTGAGCTGAGATGGTGCCACTGCACTCCAGCCTGGGTGACAAAGTGAGAACCTTCTCAAAAAAAAAAAGGTAAAGGAAAAGAATATTATATTGGCCAACAGAGACAGAAAACAAATTGGTAGTTGCCAGGGGCTGGGGGAATGGAGAGTGACTGCTTAATAAGTATGGGGTTTCCTTTTAGGGTAATGAAAACATTCTGAGGCCAGGCACAGTGGCTCACGCCTGTAATCCCAGCACTTTGGGAGGCTGAGGCGGGTGGATCACCTGAGGTCAGGAGTTCGAGCCAGCCTGGCCAACATGGTCAAACCCCGACTCTACTAAAAATACAAAAATTAGGTGGGTGTGGTGGTGCATGCCTGTAATTCCAGCTACTCCAGAGGCTGAGGCAGGAGAATCGCTTGAACCCGGGAGGCGGAGGTTGCAGTGAGCCAAGATCGCTCCACTGCACTCTAGCTGGGTAACAGAGCGAGACTCTGTCTCAAAAAAAAAAAAAAAAAAAAGAAAACATTCTGGAACAACACAGAGGTGGTGATTGCACAACCCTGTGAATGGACTGAATGCCATTGAATTGTACACTTTGAAAAGTCACGTAAATGTATGTTATGTGACTTTCACTTCAGTGCCAAAAAACGAAAGAATACTGGTGGTAGGAAAATGTGTTTGAGTTTTATATGTGGGTGGGATCTTCTACAGTCAGTCCTAGATCAACACGTAAAACATATTTCTTCCTGCAGATTGCAGTCAACAAAGTGTGAGAAAGCCTTGCCTTGTTACATTTGACCTACTGAGGGCAAACTCTAGGACAGAGTCTCTGCTACGCCCTGAGGTGAAGAGGACACACCCATTCCTTTGAGCTCAGCCCAAAGATGGCTAAGAAGAAAACTTTAAAAACAGCCCTCATCGATCAAGTCTTGACCACAAGGCGCCATTCTGAGCACTTTCATGAATTAACTTATTTCTTCTCAACACCTATAGAAGCAGGTGCTATTATTAGCCTCATTTTACAGATAAGCAAACTTCTTGCTCAGGCACAGCAGGTGCAAAGTGCTGGAAGGACAAGAGAGCACTTTCTGAAGACATCATCCTTGATTCCTCTCTCTCTTTCAGATTACACATCCGTTCCATCAGGAAATCATGTTGGCTCTGCCTTCCAAGTAGATCCAAGGTCTAACCACCTGTTCCCCACCTGTCCCACCCTGGAGCTGCCAAGGGCTGGGAGGGGATTGAGCATGAAGTATAGAAGGGAGAATTGGCAAGACATACACATCCCCCAGAGAGGGGGGAATGGGACCAAACCCTGCAGGGTTTTGAAAGCCCATCAAGAAGTTTGGGTCCGGGTGCAGTGGCTCACGCCTATAATCCCAGCACTTTGGATGCTGAGGTGGGTGGATCACTTGGGGCCAGGAGTTTGTGAGCAGCTGGCCAACATGGTGAAACCCTGTCTCTACTAAAAATACAAAAAAATTAGCAGGCATTGGTGGCCGGTGCCAATAGTCCCAGCTACTCAGGAGGCTGAGGCACCAGAATTGCTTGAACCCAGGAGCGGAGGTTGCGGTGAGCTGAGATCACGCCACTGCACTCCAGCCTGGGTGACAGAGTGAGACTCTATCTCAAAAAAAAAAAAAAAAAAAAAGTTTGGACCAAGCATGGAGGAACAAGTAGTGCTTCCTGGAGGAGGGAAGGAGGTTGCCAGGGAAAACAGGGTAGGAATGGTGTTGCAGGCAGAGGCCCAGCATGATGAGCAAGGGCCCAGAGGAATGGGAAGAACTTCAGTGTGGCTGGAGTGGCCTGAGAGGTAGGGAGACGGACAAGTGGCTGAGGCCGGTGAGGCTGGGCTGGCAGGGGCCAGTCCCTGCAGAGGGTCAAACACCAGGCTGAGGAGTTCCGCTGTGTCCTGGGACCCTGAGAGGCATGGATGGTTTTGAACAAGGGAGCGAGAGGAGCAGATGTGTGTATTAGAAAGACCCAGTGGCCACATCAAAAGGAGACAGGATTGGCCGGGCGCGGTGGCTCAGGCCTGTAACCCCAGCACTTTGGGAGGCCGAGGCCGGTGAATCACCTGAGGTCAGGAGTTTGACACCAGCCTCACAAACATGGCAAAACCCATCTGTATTAAAAATACAAAAATTGACCAGGTGCAGTAGCTCACGCCTGTAATCCCAGCACTTTGGGAGGCCAAGGCGGGTGGATCATGAGGTCAGGAGATCAAGACCATCCTGGCTAACACGGTGAAACCCCGTCTCCACTAAAAATACAAAAAATTAGCCAGACATGGTGGCGCGCGCCTGTAGTCCCAGCTACTCGGGAGGCTGAGGCAGAAGACTCGCTTGAACCCAGGAGGCGGAGGTTGCAATGAGCCGAGACCGTGCCACTGCACTCCAGCCTGGGTAACAGAGTGAGACTCCATCTCAAAAAAAAAAACAAAAAACAACTAGCTGGCCATGGTGGTACACGGCTGTAATCCCAGCTACTTGGGAGGCTGAGGCAGGAGATTCACTTGAACCCAGGAGGCGGAGGTCACAGTGAGCCAAGATGGTGCCACTGCGCTACAGCCTGGGTGACAGAGTGAGATTCTCTCTAAAACAAAACAAAACAAAAAAAATGGCTCACGCCTGTAATCCCAACACTTTAGGAGCCCGAGGCAGGCGGATCACAAGGTCAGGAGATCGAGACCAACCCGGCTAACACGGTGAAAGCCCGTCTCTACTAAAAAAAATACAAAAAATTAGCCAGGCGTGGTGGCGGGTGCCTGTAGTCCCAGCTACTCGAGAGGCTGAGGCAGGAGGATGGCGTGAACCCGGGAGGCAGAGCTTGCAGTGAGCCGAGATCATGCCACTGCACTCCAGCCTGGGCAACAAAGTGAGACTCTGTCTCAAAAAAATAATAATAAAAAAGATAGGACCAAAGGAAAAAAAAAAAAGATTGGCCAAAACTGGAAGACAAAGAGTCTAGGGAGGACGTGCACCCTATTCCCTTCTCAGCCATTCCTCTGCCCGCCCCCTCGTCCTGTCCTCCACCATTTTTCCCCTGGACTTTGCAGCAGCTTCCTCTCTGGTGTCCTGGTGACCCCCTCCGCCCCTCACAGCCTCTTCTCTTTATGCAGGCAGAGGAACTCTATGAACCCCTGAATCGGATCCTGTCCCTCCTCTGTTCAGAAGCTTCCCGTGGCTCCCACACAGGGTATAAGCCAGAGGCTTCCCCAGGGCCTACGGGCCCTAACTGATCTGCTTCCTCCAACCCCTGACCCCATCTCATGCTGTACCCGCAACACACACACAGGTCCTCCATGACGCCCACACTGGCTGCTTCGGTCACCCTCACCCACGCCAGGCATGCCCCTCACTAGCAGCGTTGCACTTGCTGTGCTCTCGGGCAACGCTCTTGCCCCAGATCCCCACAGGCCTCCCTATCTCCCCTCCTTTACTCAAATGTCATCTTCTCAGTGAGGCTTCCATCATCTTGTTTAAAAGTACACTCTAGCCTAGGTGCGGTGGCTGACACCTGTAATCCCAGCACTTTGGGAGGCTGAGGTGGGCGGATCACGAGGTCAAGAGATCGAGACCAACCTGGCCAACGTGGTGAAACTGTCTCTACTAAAAATACAAAAATTAGCTGGGCGTGGTGGCACACACCTGTAGTCCTACCTACTCGGGAGGCTGAGGCAGGAGAATCGCTTGAACCCAGGAGGCAGAGGTTGCAGTGAGCCAAGATCATGCCACTGCACTCCAGCATGGTGACAGAGCGAGACTCCATCTCAAAAAAAAAAAAAAAAAGGACGGGTGCCTGTAATCCCAGCACTTTGGAAGGCCAACGCAGGCAGATCACCTGAGGTCGGGAGTTCCAGACCAGCCTGACCAACATGGAGAAACCCCGTCTCTACTAAAAATACAAAATTAGCATGCCTATAATCCCAACTACTCAGGAGACTGAGGCAGGAGAATTGCTTGAACCCGGGAGGCAGAAGTTGCAGTGAGCCAAGATTGAGCCATTGCACTCCAGCCTGGGCAACAAGAGTGAAACTCCGTCTCAAAAGAAAAAAAAAAAAAGTACACTCTTGGCCAGGTGCAGTGACTCACGCCTGTAATCCCAACATTTTAGCAGGCTGAGGGTGGGTGGATCACTTGAGGTCAGGAGTTTGAGACCAGCCTGGGCAACATGGTGAAACCCCGTCTCCACTAAAAATACAAAAAATTAGCTGGGCGCGGTGGTAGTCACCTGTAATCTCAGCTACTCACGAGGCTGAGGCGGGAGAATCACTTGAACCCCAGAAGCGGAGGTTGCAGGGAGCCGAGTCGTGCCACAGGACTCCATCCTGGATGACAGAGCAATACCCCGTCTCAAAGAAAAAAAGAGTACACTCCTCCACCCTATCCACCCATTTGTGCTTGTTTTATTTTTCTCCATAGTTCTTACCTCCCTCACTACTACATACTTTACTTATGTATTTCTTTTCTTTTTTTTTTTTTTTTTTTTGAGACGGAGTCTCGCTCTGTCGCCCAGCCCAGGCTGGAGTGCAGTGGCGCGATCTCGGCTCACTGCAAGCTCCGCCTCCCGGGTTCACGCCATTCTCCTGCCTCAGCCTCCCGAGTAGCTGGGACTACAGGCGCCCACAACCGCGCCCGGCTAATTTTTTGTAATTTTTAGTAGAGACGGGGTTTCACCGTGGTCTCGATCTCCTGACCTTGTGATCCGCCCGCCTCGGCCTCCCAAAGTGCTGGGATTACAGGCGTGAGCCACCGCGCCCGGCCCTTTTTTGTTTGTTTGTTTTGAGACAGTCTCGTTCTGTCACCCAGGCTGGAGTGCAGTGGTGCATAGTCACAGCTCACTGCAGCCTCAAACTCCTGGGCTCAAGTCATCCTCCCACCTCAGCCTCCTGAGCAGCTGGGACTCCAGGTGCACACTACCACACCTGACTAATTTTAAACAACTTTTTGTGGAGATAAGGTTGCTTTGTTGCCCAGCCTGGTCTCAAAGTGATCTTCCCATCTCACCCTGCCAAAGTGCTGGGATTACAGGTGTGAGCCACTGCACCCAGCCGACTCACATCTCGTTTATCACCTGTCTCCTCCAAAGAGAATGTCAGCACCATGAGGATGGGAGTCTGTTTTACTCCCTGCTATATCCCCAGTGCCTTGAGCAGGGCCTGGCACACAGCAGGCGCTCAATAAATCGTTGGAGAACTATGAGTGGAAGGGTCAAGGTCTAGGGCAGGAAGCTGGCCTGGAGCTGCAGGGGACAGGCGGATTCCCTGTGGCCCGGAAGATGTCTCCTTTTTTTTTTCTTTTTTGAGACGGAGTCTTGCTCTGTCGCCCAGCCTGGAATGCAGTGGCTAAATCTTGGCTCACTGCAACATCCACCTCCCAGGTTCAAGTGATTCTCCTGCCTCAGCCTCCCGAGTAGCTGAGAATATAGGCATGTACCACCATGCCTGGCTAATTTTTGTATTTTTAGTAGAGAAGGGGTTTCACCATGTTGGCCAGGCTGGTCTCGAACACCTGACCTTATGTATCCCCCCGCATCACATGCAACCCCTCTGCCTGTGTCCCCTCATCCCACCCTGACCCCTCTGCCTGCCCTATCCCACCCCTGATCCCTCTGCCTGTGCCCTGACCCTGGCCCTGACCCCCCTGGGCCTCTCCCCTGCTGGCTCTGACCCATCTCCCCCAGTCTCCCAGTGCTTCCCCATCTGGTCCTGACCTTTCTTTTTTTTTTTTTTTTTTGAGACGAAGTCTTGCTCTTGTCACCCAGGCTAGAGTGCAATGGCGTGACCTCAGCTCACTGCAACCTCCACCTCCTGGGTTCAAGCGATTCTCCTGCCTCAACTTCCCAAGTAGCTGGGATTACAGGCACCTGCCACCACACCCGGCTAATTTTTGTATTTTTAGTAGAGACGGGGGTTTCACCATGTTGGCCAGACTGGTCTCGAACTCCTGACCTCAGGTGATCTACCCGCCTCAGCCTTCCAGAGTGCAGGGATTACAGGTGTGAGCCACTGTGCCCAGCCTGGCCCTGACGTTTCTGAGCTGTCACTGTCTGGAAGTGGGTCTGTCCCTCCACCCCTACCCAATGAACTGCCTCCGCCCACCTGGGCCTCCCAAAGCACTGAGATTACCGGCCACTGCGCCCAGCCAGATGCCTGCTTTAGCTTGTGTGCTTTTGCATCTTTCTCTCTCACTCTGTTTCTCTTGCCATGACATGTTCAGTGTCTATCTCCACACCACCTCCCCCATTCCCAGGAGACCACCCTGCCTCTCTGAGCCCCCAGTGTCCCACCTGGCTCCACAAGGCTCAGCAGCCACACGGCTGAGGGGCCACGGCCTGGGCACTCCGAGGCTGCCGAAGCTGGCGGAGGGACGCGTCCCCGTACTGGATGCCAGATCCCATCCTCTCGGGGTCTAGCTCGCCTGTCGGGGAAGGGGAGAGGTCAGCACTGGTGGCCTGGAGACCCCCAGGCCTGCCCTCCGCTCCCACTCGGGCCGGTCGGGGCCTCACCTGAGTCAATCTTGTTGAGGATGGTGCGGGCACACTTGAGGAACGCCTCTTCCACGTTCTCACCTGTGAGAGCGCTGGTCTCCAGAAACATCAGCTCTGCAGGGGCACACACTCTGAGGTCAGGGCCCCAGTCAGTCCCCACCCTCCACTGAGCTCTCACCTGCTGACTCTCATCCTGTTCCTCCAATGTTCCATCTCTGCTTACCCTCACCTCAGGCCTCTGCGCATGCCATTTCCCTGCCATTGATGTCCACTTCCCCATATGCCCACCCAGCTCTTCCTTCAGAGCTCAGCTCACACAGCTCCTCCTCCAGGAAGTCCTCCCTGACTGCCTAGGCTGGGTAAGGTGCCTACTTAGGGCTCCCACAGCTTCTTGTGGCCCCCTATCCTGGCCCTGACCCCTCTGCTTGTGCCTCCTCATCCTGGCCCCAACCCTCTGCCTGGGTCCCCGTTGTACCCCCCAGACCCTTCTGCCTGGGCCTGCCCCATTCTACCCCTGACCCTTCTGCCTGGGCCTGCCCCATTCCACCCCTGACCCCTCTGCCCATGCTCCCCCATCCCATGCAACCACTCTGCCTGTGCCCCCCAAACTTGGGCTTGACCCCTCTACCTGGGCTCCCCATCCCACCCCAACCCTCTGCTCATGCTCCCCATTCCATGTAACTCCTTTCCCTGTGCCCCATCATCCCACCTGACCTCTCTGCCTCTGCCTGCCTTATCCCAGCCCTGACCCCTCTACCTCTGCCTGCCCTATCCCAGCCCTGACCCCTCTACCTGTGCCTGCCCTATCCCAGCCCTGACCCCTCTGCCTGGGTTCTCCATCCCACCCCAATCCCTCTGCCAGCTCCCCCAATCCTGGCCCTGGCCCCTCTGGGGCTCTCCCCTGCTGGCTCTCACCCCTCTCTCCCGGTGCTTTGCCATCAAGCCCTGACCTTTCTGGGCTGTCACTGTCTGGCAAGCGGGTCTGTCCTTCCACCCCCACCCACTGAACTGTGAGCTCCATGCAGGTTGGGCCTAGGGCTGTCTCCAACACTGTGTCCCTAGCACCATCTAGGACAGGCACAGGCCAACCAGAGTTACCCATCAGCCTCGTGACAAGGTCCCACAGTCAGAAAATCAGAGCTGGATTCACACCCACACCTCTCTGATGGCAAAACCTCCTTTAAAACCTGGAGGTTGCAAACCAGGGGAACATAAGCAGATCTCAAGCCACCAGATGTGGGTGGTTTGGCCAACACAATGTTTTCAAATGAGTTTATACTTGCAAACCCTTTTTCTTTGTTTTTTTCTTTGAGACAAAGTATCTCTCTGTCCCCTAGGCTGGAGTGCAGTGGTGCGATCATAGATCACTGCAGCCTCGAACTTCTGGGCTCAAGTGATCCTCCTGCCTCAACCTCCTAAGTAGCCCGGACCACAGGCATATACCACCACACCCAGCTATTTTTTTTTTTTTTCTTTTGTAGAGGTAGGGTCTCCCTCTGTTACACAGGCTGGTCTCAAACTCCTGACCTCAAGTGATCCTCCTACCTTGGCCTCCCAAAATGCTGGGATTACAGGTGTGAGCCATTGTGGTTGGCCCTTGCAAGCCTTTTGGTGTGGGTTGTCAGTATGCTGCACTCCCCTTAACACTAGTGCCTGTTACTCTAGGAACTACCCCATCCCATCTCCTATATTCAAAAATGTGCCTTTTGCCGGGTGTGGTGGCTCACACCTGTAATCCCAGCACTTTGAAAGGCTGAGGCGGGCAGATCACAAGGTCAGGAGTTCAAGATCAGCCTGGCCAATATGGTGAAACCCCGTCTCTACTAAAAATACAAAAGTGTGTGGTGGCGTGTGCCTGTAGTCCCAGATACTCGGGAGGCTGAGGCAGAAGAATCACTTGAGGCCGGGCGCCATGGCTCACGCCTATAATCCCAGCACTTTGGGAGGCCGAGGCAGGCGGATCACGAGGTCAGGAGATGGAGACCACAGTGAAACCCCATCCCTACTAAAAATACAAAAAATTAGCCGGGCGCGGTGGCGGGCGCCTGTAGTCCCAGCTGCTCAGGAGGCTGAGGCAGGAGAATGGCGTGAACCCGGGAGGCGGAGCTTGCAGTGAGCCGAGATTGCGCCACTGCACTCCAGCCTGGGCGACAGGGCTAGACTCCGTCTCAAAAAAAAAAGAAGTTGCAGTGAGCCGAGATTGCACCACTGTACTCCAGTCTGGGTGACAGAGCAAGACTCCGTCTCAAAAAAAAAAAAAAAACAAAACTGCTTTTCACCCAGGGCCATCTGGGGTTGCAATCTCTACATTAAACCAATACCCAGGAAGGTGCGGTAGGAGGGAAAAATAGATAAAATAAAATATAATAAAATAATTAATTAAACCAATACCCTGTGCTGCCTTCCCACTGTAGGCGAAACCTTAGCAGCCAATATTAATGTAGCACCCGCTCTGTGGCAGGTGCTGAGGACTTTCCACAGACAATCTCCCTTAATCATCACAGCACACTGTGAGGCGGAAACACTGTGATCCCACTTTCCAGATGAGGAAACTGAGAACCAGCGTAATCACACAGCTCACTGGGGTCAATACTTAGGGATTGTTTGTTTTTGTTTTTTTTTTTTTTGGAGACAGGGTCTTGCTCTGTCTCCCAGACTAGAGTACGATGTCGTGATCACAGCTCACTGAAGTCTTTTTTTTTTTTTTTTTTTTTTTTGAGACAGAGTCTCACTCTGTCGCCCAGGCTGGAGTGCAGTGGCCGGATCTCAGCTCACTGCAAGCTCCGCCTCCCGGGTTTACGTCATTCTCCTGCCTCAGCCTCCCGAGTAGCTGGGACTACAGGCGCCCACCACCTCGCCCGGCTAGTTTTTTGTATTTTTTTTTTAGTAGAGATGGGGTTTCACTGTGTTAGCCAGGATGGTCTCGATCTCCTGGCCTCGTGATCCGCCCGTCTCGGCCTCCCAAAGTGCTGGGATTACAGGCTTGAGCCACCGCGCCCGGCCTGAAGTCTTAAACTCTCAGGCTCAGGCGATCCTCCTGCCTCAGCCTCCACTGTAGCTGGGACTACAGGTATAAGCCACCACACCCACCTAATTTTTAAAATTTTTTGTAGAGATAGGATCTCACTACGTTGTCCAGGCTGGTCTCAAACTCCTGGGCTCAAGCAATCCTCCCACTTTGGCCTCCCAAACTGCTGGGATTACAGGTGTGAGCCACCATATCCAGCCAACACTCAATTTTGAACCCAGACCTCTGAACCTCCACGTTCCCCTGCTGGGCACAGCCACTCAGAGCCAGTAAACCCACGGTCCCTGTGGACTGTCTACCCCCACCACCACCTGGTCCACGACACAGCCCTCACCATTCTCCTGGGCAAAGCGGGAGGCCTCCAGGAAAGTGACCTCCCGCTCAGGGTCCAGGTCCTTCTTGTTGCCACAGAGGATGACCACGATGTTGGGGCTGGCCAGGGTGCGGGCATCCGTCAGCCAGGCAGCCAGTGAGTTGTACGTCTCCCGGCTGTGGAGAAGGGAGAGGGGAGGGAGGCAGTGCAGAGAGGAGCCACCCATGCCCTGCCCCACCCACCCACCCCGGGCACCCACCTGGTGATGTCGTACACCAGCAGGGCTCCAGCTGCCCCTCGGTAATAACTCCGCGTCACCGACCTGTGGGGCCAGGGGGACCCAGTCACCCCCAAGGCTGGGGTCTGCCCCGAGAATGCCCCCCTCTGCAGACAGAGACTGGTGGCTCGGAGGCCCCCCTTCACTGCTGGCCCATCCCCCAAAACCTGGCCTTGGTTGGGTCGCCATGCAATTCCTCTCTGTTCTTGCATCCTTGCAGTCCCTCTCTCTTTGCCTCTCTCAGCTTCTATCTCACTTAGCTGGCCAGCTGCCTCTGTCTGTAAGTCTCCCGTCTTTGTCTCTCCCTGTCCCTGTCTTTCCATCGGTCTCTTTCTCTCTATGTCTCTTACATGTGTGTCTTTTTGTAATTTTAATTTTAATTTGTCTGATGGTCTTGCTCTATAGCCCAGGTTGGAGTGAGTGGCACAATCTCGGCTCACTGCATCCTCGAACTCCTGGGCTCAGTCTCCCAGGGGAGGGATCCTCCCACCTCAGCCTCTGGAGTATCTGGGACTACCAGTGTGCACCACCACACCTGGCTAAGTTCTTAATATTTTTTGTAAAGATGGGGCTTTGCTAGGTTGCCCAGGCTGGTCTCCAACTCCTGGGCTCAAGTGATTCTCCTGCCTTAAGCTATGGGTCTTTTTTTTTTTTTTTTTTTTTTTTTAGTAAGAGTCTCACTCTGTCTCCCAGGCTGCAGTGCGCCATGATCTCGGCTCACTGCAACCACTGCAACCGCCACTTCCTGGGTTCAAGCGATTCTCCCACCTCAGCCTCTTGAGTAGCCAGGATTACGGATGCATGCCACCACATCGGCTAATTTTTGTATTTTTCGTAGAGATGGGGTTTTGCCATGTTGGCCAGTCTGATCTCAAACTCCTGACCTCAAGTGATCCGCCCACCTTGGCCTCCCAAAGTGCTAGGATTACAGGCGTGAGCCACTGTGCCCAGCCTACGTGTCTTTTATGGATTGATTGATTGATTGAGATGGAGTTTTGCTCTTTCACCCAGGCTGAAGTGCAATGGCGTGATCTCAGCTCACTGCAACCTCTGCCCCCCGGATTCAAGTGATTCTCCTGCCTTAGCCTCCCAAGTAGCTGGGATTACAGGCATGCACTGCCACATCCAGTTAATTTTTGTATTTTTAGTAGAGATGGGTTTCGCCATGCTGGCCAGTGTGGTATTGAACTCCTGACCTCAAGTGATCCACCCGCCTAGGCCTCCCAAAGTGCAGGGATTACAGGTGTGAGCCACCGTGGCTGGCCCTATTTAATTTCCTATTTCTCCCTGTCTTTTTTGTTTGTTTCATATCTCTGGCTCTCTCGTGCTTACTTTTGCCTTCCCATGCATTTGTGCATTCGTTCATTCAACATTTTCTGAGCAAATCTCCCGTTTGCCTGGCCCTGCCCAAGCGCTATGCAACATCTGCTTATCATTGTCCTGCTGTGTCAGGTGGAGGCTCCTTCCCAGTGTAGCCAACTCTGCATTCTCAGTCTCACCAGTCTGGGTCCTTCTGGAACTCATGCAATCATTCCACAAGCATTTACTAAGCACTCACCGTAAACCTAGCCCATGCCACACACCTGTCTATCCTTCAGCCCGTCTCTCTGCCTCTGGGCTCTGTGCACCTCAGGCAGTGAATCCATACACAAGTATTAACTCAGCTACTATGCTGCCATAGATCACACTTTTCCACGGACCGAATTCCCTCTATTTCTCTCCCTGCTCTCTGTCTCTGTTTCTCAGACTCGCCTAAGGTTTCTATGTGTCGATCAACTTTTCTGCAGTCATTTCCTGAAGACCTACCATGTGTTGAGCCCTATGCATTTCCGTCTCCCTCTCCCACAACACGTCCATTTCTCCATTTGTCTTTTGGAAAGATGGGATTTCACAATGTTGCCCGGGCTGGTCTCAAACTCCTGGACTCAAGCGGTTCTCCTGCCTTGGCCTGTGTGTCTTCAGTTCCCTATTTCTCGCTGTCTCTCGTTCTGCTCCATCTCTGTGGCTCTCATGCTCACCCTTGCCTTTCCATAAATCTATGCATTCATTCATTCATTCAATGTCCAACTACACCTGTCCGACTTGCCCTGTCTCCCTCTCTGCCTCTGACCTGTTTCTCTGTGTCTCCTCACCTCCTTTATTTATTTATTTATTTTTGAGACAGAGTCGCGCTCTGTCACGCCAGCTGGGGAGAACTGGTGCAATCTTGACTCACTGCAACCTGTGCCTCCCAGGTTCAAGCAATTCTCCTGCCTCAGCCTCCCGAGTAACTGGCATCCACCACCACAGCCTAGCTAAATTTTTTTTTGTATTTTTAGTAGAGACAGGGTTTCACCATGGTGGCAGACAGGTCTCGAACTCCTGACCTCAAGTGATCCACCCGCCTCAGCCTCCCGAAGTGCTGGGATTATAGGTGTGAGCCACTGTGCTGGGCCTCCTTACCTCCCTTATCATTCTCTTCAATTCTCTTAGTCTCTGTCTCTCTTGCTCTTTTCCTTTCTGGGTGTGTGTCTCTCAAGTTTCCCCTTCTCTTTCTGTTTCAATGTCTCTTAGTCTCTATCCCTCACCCCCTCCCCAAGCCACTTTTCTCTATCTCTTTTTCTTTCTTTGAGATGGGGGTCTCGCTATGTTGCCCAGGCTGGTCTCGAACTTCTGGGCTCAGGCAATCTTCCCACCTTGGCCTCCCAAAGCACGGGGATTACTGGCATGAGCCACTGCATCTGGCCCCTACCTCTTTTTCTTCCGCCATCTCTTTCTCTCTCCAGTACTCCCTCTCTCCTTGGGTATATATACCTGCTAACTACAGTGTCTCTTCTCTCTCTCTCTGCCTTGTCTGCCCTCTCAGTGTCTCCAAGTGACTCTACACACACGTCTCTCTCTCTCTTTCCTTCTCTCTCTCTCTCCTCATCACCTTTGGGAGCCCAGCCCACCTACCGAAACCGCTCCTGGCCAGCCGTGTCCCAAATCTGTAGCTTCACAGTCTTCCCACCCACGTTGACCACCCGGGATCCAAACTCCACGCCGATCGTGTGGTTGGAGTCCTGTTTGACTGGGAGTGGGAGGAACAGAAGGGGCAGTGCAGGGAGAGAGGAGGCAGCTCAGAGGATCCCCCATCCTCCAAGGCCTTCTCAGTCTCTACAAACCCATTCTCATTGCTGGAGTGACTGAGGTCAAGGAGAACCTAGTAAAGGACATATGACAAAGCAAGGACCAAAAAGCCAGGACTGGACTTGTACCTATGGCCAGCCCTGCCCTCCCCACCAGCTGCCCACCAGCCCACACCATGCCCATAGCCACAGCTCAGGGTTCCCAGGACCACTGCAGGAAACTCACACTTATTCTCAATGAACTGATGAAGGAGACATGATTTGCCAGTTCCTGCACTGCCAATCACCAGGAATTTGAAGAGGAAGTCTGACCAGATGGAGCCAAAATCAGGGATACCCACAGGGAGAGAAAGATACAGGGAAAAAGATGGATTCCAATCCAATCTGTCTCTCTAACCGTCACAGTTAGAGGGAGAGAAACAGACATAGGCAGAAACAAACCAATAGGTAACAGTAACAGATAACTCTTATGTAGTACTTGCCATGTGCCAGGCACATTCTATATATTTTTTTCAACTTTTATTTTAGGTTCAGGGGATACATGTGCAGGTTTTTTTTGTCCTTGTTTTTGTTTTTTCGAGACAAGAGTTTCACTCTTTGTTGCCCAGGCTGGAGTGCAATGGCGCAATCTTGGCTCACCGCAACCTCCACCTCCCAGGTTCAAGCAATTCTCCTGCCTCAGCCTCCCGAGCAGCTGGGACTACAGGCATGAGCCACCACGCTCAGCTAATTTTGTATTGTTAGTAGAGACGGGGTTTCTCCATGTTGGTCAGGCTGGTCTCGAACTCCCGACCTCAGGTGATCCGCCCACCTTGGCCTCCCAAAGTGCTGGGATTACAGGCGTGAGCCACCGTGCCCAGCCCACACGTGCAGGTTTGTTACATAGGTCAATTGTGTGTTGTTGTGGGCCAGGAACAGCTCTAAAGGTCTTTACTCACATCAACAGCTCACATCATCCTCAGGAAAACTCTATGAGGGAGGTAGCCTAAAAATTATTCCCCTTTTCCAGATGAGGAAACAGGCCAGAGAGGTTAACTGACTTGCCCCAAGTGACAGAGCTAGGCAGAAGTGAGATTCAAACTTAGGCCGAGGGCTCCAGAATCCATCGCTAAAGTCTCTTGAAAGCTATTTAAACAAGGACTACCAACTAGCCCTTGTTCCTCTTCACCTCCTACCACCCTCTGACTCATTCACTCCACTATAGCTCCTGACCTTCAGTCTATTCCCTGAAAACGACAAGCTGGTTCTCACCTCAGGGTCTTTGCACTCTTCTCTTCTGTATTTGTTGAACGAATGCAGCTCCCTCTGACTCCTAAACCTGCGCTTCCCCCGCCTCCAATCACCACCTCCTGTGCTGCATCCCTACTGATTTTCCACTTCCCGACCTCTCCTTCCCTCCCTCTGCCCAGACCCTGGCTCCATTCTCATGCATAAGCCCCACCCCTTGCCACTAAGTCCTGCCCCTAACTCAAGAACAGCCCATACCCAAACCCATTCCAGAGCTCTCTCCAGCCAGATCAACCCCAGGGTCCCGAGCTTCCATCCAGTGTTCCCTCTAGCCCATAAGCCCGACTCCTGCCATTCACGCAGTCAGCCCCTCCCCTTCACTCAGGCTCCGCCCATATCCATTAAGGCCCACCTCTTCCCTCAGGGCCTCCCTGAACCCCTAAGTACCAGCTCCCTCAAATCCCGCCCCAGATCTATTTAACCCACGCACCAGACCCTCAGGCTCCACCTAAATCGATTAAGCTCAGCCTCAGACCCACTAAACCCCTCCCAGCATCCACTTAGGCCCTGCCTCCATAACACCAGACCCCGCCCCCTGATCTACAAAGCCCCGCCCATTCCCACAGGCCGCATCCTCCCGGGGCCCAGACCCAGGACCCCGGCTTCGGCCCACCACCCTCACCGTAGGTCTCGGCCATGACTCGGTCGCGGCCGCTGAGGGCCGCAATATGGCGCCGCAGCCGCGCCTGCTCCTCGGCTGGCAGCCGCTCCACTCCGGCTACAGCCCCGGCTTCTTCCTACTCCCCGGGCCCGGCACCGCCACTTCCGCCTCCGCCCCCCTCCAGCGCGACCCGCTCCAGCAGCTGGATACCAGACCACGCTTTCCGAAGGGCGGGATTGGTGGACTCGCGGGCAGAGGGCGGGACAAAAGGCGCGGATTGGTGGCATGAGAGGGGCCCAGCCCAAAGGGGCGGGGCCGAGGCCAGCGATTGGCTGAGCAAGTGGGAAGGGACGTGCAGAGCTGCTTTGCCGAGCCGAGGAACGGATTTAGTCTGGAGTCCGGGGGCAGAGTCGAGTCTCCGGATTGGATTGGAGCGGACTTGGGGGAGGGGATACGAATGCAAAGAAGGGGGCACGGGCAGAATTGACAGAAAGAGGCTGGAAGAGGAGCTGATCTTGAGCTGGCGGGAGCGGTTACTGGTCTCAAAGGCAAAAAGGAGGAAAACTCGGAAGATAGGCGCAGGTTACTTCCCGCCTCCCTTTGCAGATAATCTTCCAAGAAAACCTTTGCTGTGCGATTTATATCCTCCGCGTAGTCCCATTGGCTCCCTCCCACTGGTCTAGAGAGGACACTACAACCCCCTAGTTGGGCTGCTTAGGTTTTCCTTTGCTTGTGTCAGAAACCTAAGCTTAGGAGCCCTCCTACCGCACACGGCTTTCATCAGTGAAACACTGCCTAGCAACCACTGACGTTACCATATGCAGCGGGTTAACTGGTTAGATTCAGGAACCCAGAGAAACATTTCATTTGTATAGTCCCCATCCCACCCTACCCCACCCCAAAGACCACAGAGACAGGCCGTTTGCACTGGGCTGACTGTATTTGCATAAAGCCAAGGAGGGGAAACGGCAGGGCCAGCGGTAGGCTGAGCTCACTGGCAGTAGAAATCCCATTTCTGAAAAAGAGAAAGGGGAAACAGTGGAGAGAAAACCAGCGGTCACACCACAAAGGATCTAGTGGTTTTTGCAAAGGCTGCAGCTGCAGGGCCCAGGTCTGGCCACGCAAGTGCTACGCAAATTAGCCTAGAGCCCTCTAATCTTTGCACCTCCCAACCGGACCCATTTTACTGGTGAGAAAATTGAGGCAGGGAAAGAATTTCTCCCAGCGCACACACCTAGGGAGCCAAGGGTGGGAGCATTTTTGCCCATCCCCACAACCTAAGGGTCCTCCCCCCAGATTTTTTGCCAGCCCCCATGACACTCACGTCTGTCTTCACATCGACTTTGCCAGGTTTCAGGGTCTGGTCCTCCCGGACAATGCTACTGGGGAAATAGCCCAGGCGAGCGGCCAGATCTCCATAGTAATCTCCCTGAACCTAGGGAAGAGGAGTTAAAAGCTAGGGTCTGGGAAGATGGCAAGCTTATGCCTGCTGAAGGCTTTGCATTCTCCCTTCTCCCTGATCTCCATGTAACTGGCTCCATCCTTGTCATACGAATCTCAGCTTAAATGTAACCTGTTCAGAAGCCTTTTCTGACCACCCAAGTCAGTCTCTGTTAATACTCACAGCAGCGCATATTTGCTTTTTTTATTATTTTGGAGACAGGGTCTCACTGTGTCGCCCAGGTTGGGGTGCAGTAGCATGATCACGGCTCACTGCAGCCTCAACTTCTGGGCTCAAGCAATCCTCCCACCTCAGCCTCCTGAGTAGCCGGGACCACAGATACACGCCATGACGGCCAGTTAATTTTTATTTTTTTTTGTGGGGGGGGGGTCTTACTATGTTGCCCAGGCTGGTCTCGAACTCCTAGGCTCAAGCTATCCTCCCAACTTGGCCTTACTTGGGATTACAGGTGTGAGCTACCGTGCCCGGCTGCTATTTTTTATGACTTGCTTTTTGCTCATTTCTCTCCATTAAAATAAAAAGGATCAGGCCGGGCGCGGTGGCTCAAGCCTGTAATCCCAGCACTTTGGGAGGCCGAAACGGGCGGATCACGAGGTCAGGAGATCGAGACCATCCTGGCTAACACGGTGAAACCCCATCTCTACTAAAAATACAAAAAACTAGCCGGGCAAGGTGGCGGGCGCCTGTAGTCCCAGCTACTCAGGAGGCTGAGGCAGAGAATGGCATAAACCTGGGAGACGGAGCTTGCAGTGAGCTGAGATCTGGCCACTGTACTCCAGCCTGGGTGACAGAGCGAGACTCCGTCTCAAAAAAAAATAAAAATAAAAAAATAAAAATAAAATAAAAAGGATCATTTGTTGTTGTATCTTGGTATCTAGAACAGAACGTGGGACCATAGCAGCTGCCCTAAAATTGGTAAATAAAGTGAAAATAGGCTGGGGGGGCGGTGGCTCACACCTAGAATCCCAGCACTCTGGGAGGCCAAGGCGGGCAGATCATGAGGTCAAGAGTTCAAGACCAACCTGGCCAGTATGGTGAAACCCTGTCTCTACTAAAAATACAAAAATTAGCCAGGTGTGGTGGTGCATGCCTGTAATCCCAGGTACTCGGGAGGCTGAGGCAGGAGAATCGCTTGAACCCAAGAGGTGGAGGTTACAGTGAGCCGAGATCGCACCATTGCATTCCAGCCTGGGTGACAGAGCAAGTCTCTGTCTCGGAAAAAATTAAAAATAAACAAATAAGGGCCGGGCGCAGTGGCTCACGCCTGTAATCCCAGCACTTTGGGAGGCTGAGGTGGGCGGATCATGAGGTCAGGAGTTCGAGACCAGCCTGGCCAATATGGTGAAACCCTATCTCTACTATAAATACAAAAATTAGCCGGGCGTGGTGGCGCGTGCCTGTAGTCCCAGCTACTCAGGAGACTGAGGCAGAAGAATCGCTTGAACCCGGGAGGCGGAGGTTGCAGTGAGCCCAGATCGCGCCACTACACTCTAGCCAGGGCAACAGAGTGAGACACTGTCTCAAAAATAAATAAATAAAGTAAGTAAGTAACAATATACCCCCACAATGTCTATTTCAGTTCATCCCCCTCAAATCTTCCCTTCATGGGGATAATGAGTCTACCCCAGCCCTGTACCCTTCCCTCTTTCACTCTCCCAAGACTCACGCTGCCTCCCCAGAAGAGCCGCCCACGGCCCTTCAGCTTGGAGAAGACATACACCACTTGGCCCCGGTGAATGGTCAGGAATCGGCAGTCGGGGGCCATGTAGTCCTGAAGGGCCACAGCCATGGAGATAGGGTCTAGGGAAGGAATAGAAGGGAATGCAATACCCTCCACACAGGCTAATACCCCAAGCCCCCAGTTCTCCCTCCCCACTCTTACAGCTGCACTCCTGGTCTGCACACAGCTTCCGGTCAGCCAGCTTGGGCATAGGGCCACCCCCGACACCAGGTCCGGAGAAGGCAGACAGCAAGACGATGACACCGAGGAACACCAGGGACCAGGCCATCGTGGACTGTGAGCAAGAGAGTGAGCAAAGGGGTGCTGAGGTCTCCAATTTCCTCCCCTCCCTCTCTCCCATAGTTCAAGGAAACTTGTGTTCTTGGTCTTATCCCCGCCCTAAACCAGTCCCAAATTTCGCCCACACCACCTAGAAGTTGCTACCCAGCCAGAACCATTTCAAGGATAGGGTAAAGGCTGCAAGCCCAAGGAAATTCCCAGATAAGGTCCAAAGCAGCTCACAGCTTTCCCAGTGACAGCCCCCTCCTCAACAATCACAGAGGCCCAGACAAGGTGGTTGAGATACTCAATTCCATCTTCTCTTGAGTTGGCTTAGGTACCTGGGCTCCTCTGCTGTCCCCTCTGGCGACAGAAGCAGGAGGAGCCTGTAAGGAAAACCACCTTGGAATTTCCTGTGCTGTGGGGCGGGAGAACAAGGCAGCCCTTTGATGACCAGAAACAGCTCAGCCCTGGAGTACTGACTGAATATTGTATGCTGAACCTTAGGCTAGGCAATGTCCCACCACGATCACTGTTTATCTGCACCAGCCGCTTCCCACTGGATGACCTGGGCTAAGCTATTTCTCCTCACAGAGCCTCAGCATCCTTATATGTAAAATGGGAACAATAAAAAAAGCCAGTAGTTATAGAGCATTCACCAAGTACGTATTTATGTTATGAACTCAAATGGATACTCTGTATCATGTCAGGAGTGATTATAAACCCTCCCTTTCTTTTTTGAGACAGGGTCTCACCCTGTTGCCCAGGTGGAGTGCAATGGTGCCATTGTGGCTCACTGCAGCCTCAACCTCCTAGACTCAGGCAATCCTCCCACCTCAGCCTCCTGAGTAACTGGGACTACAGGCACAAGCCACCTATGCCCAATTAATCCATTTTTCTACAATAATTATTTTGAGGTAGGGTCTTGCTCTGTTGCCCAGGTTGGAGTACAGTGGCATGATCCTGGTTCACTGCAGCCCCTATTTCCTGGGCTCAAGCAGTCCTCCCACCTCAGCCTCCCGAGTAGCTGGGACCACAGACATGCACCATTATGCTCAGTTAATTTTTTTTTTTTTTTTTTTTTTTTTTGAGATGGAGTCTCGCTCTGTCACCCGGGCTGGAGTGCAGTGGCCGGATCTCAGCTCACTGCAAGCTCCGCCTCCCGGGTTCACGCCATTCTCCTGCCTCAGCCTCCCGAGTAGCTGGGACTACAGGCGCCCGCCACCTCGCCCGGCTAGCTTTTTGTATTTTTTAGTAGAGACGGGGTTTCACCGTGTTAGCCAGGATGGTCTCGATCTCCTGACCTTGTGATCCGCCCGTCTCAGCCTCCCAAAGTGCTGGGATTACAGGCTTGAGCCACCGCGCCCGGCTAATTTTTTGTATTTTTGGTAGAGACAGGGTTTCGTCATGTTGCCCAACCTCGTCTCAATCTCCTGGGCTCAAGCAATCTGCCCACCGTGGCTTTCCAAAGTGCTGGGATTACAGGCATGAGCCACCAAGCCCAGCCTAATTTAATTTTTTGAGACAGGATCTTGCTGTTGCTCAGGCTGAAGTACAGTGATGTGATCATCGCTCACTGCATCCTTGAACCCCTGGGCTCACGAAATCCTCCCCCCTCAGCCTCCTGAGTAGAATAGTAGGCGGGTCACCATTCTTGGATGATTTATTTTTATTTTTCTAGAGCCAGTGCCTTACTATACTGCCTGAGCTGGTCTTGAGCTCATGTCCCCAAGCGATCCTCCTGCCTCAGCCTCCCAAAGCACTGGGATTACAGGCATGAGCCACCAATGCCTGGCCTATAACCCCTTGTTACATGGAAATGGAAGTGTGGAGTTAAGGAACTTGTCTAAGGCTTACAGAGCCAGGAAGTGGAGAAGTGGAGGGGCTAAGACTTGTATCCAGGCCCACAGCCATTGCTATACTATCTTTTTTTTTTTTTTTTTTTTTTGAGATGGAGTCTCATATTGCAGTGGTACTATCTCGGTTCACTGCAACCTCTGCCCCGGATTCAAGCAATTCTCCTGCCTCAGCCTCCCGAGTAGCTGGGATTACAGGCATGCACCACCATGCCCAGCTATTTTTGTATTTTTAGTAGAGACAGGGTTTCTCCATGTTGG